ATATTTCAATATGGCATTTGTCAATTCTCGATTATGTGCATTTTCGACACTTTAATCATGATCATTCTTCCATATTTCTTTGATTACTTGCTACATGGTTTGTGATGCATGCTAATTGATTTGGTGCTGTTTTTTTTCAATGTTATTCATGTTTGCATTGAGTTTGTTCCTCTTTGGAATGAACTCAATCTTTTATAGTCAATAAATCACTCTTTTGCTTTAATGGTTTTTCATCCCTTTGGAAAATTATTAGCATATTCCCCTTTTGATTGATAAATCGAAACTTCGTTCCGATTAATCGACCCTTCTCTCTTTCTTATCCTTTGGATATTTTAGATCTTTGTTCTCCTTCTCTTTTCCCCCGTGGAGTTGAAGGTTCGCAACGCATTGGAGCATTCTACGAATTTGACACCGTGGTGCTATCCGTTTCGATTCTTGCACCGCACTTTGGTGTTAGAGAAGGAATGAGAGTGGAGAATTCCTACACTCATTCTGACCATTTTGGGTAGGGGACGAATGACCTTGTGCCTGGAGTAGTCGTCTCTACCTCCTTACTATGGTGTCCCTCTTTCTCCAGTCAAGTCGATCCTTGATCACTTGCACCCTTACCTCCTCTTTGGAAGTAACTTATTCCTTTCAAGCCAACACTCTTTTCTCTCTCAGCCAATCACCATTCTTGGTTTCCCCAGAGATTTTTAGTCACTCTTTTCCTTGGTTGATCAACTGTCCTTCAGTTTAAACCTAATTCCCTTCTTCCTCAACTAAGTCAATCTTTCTTCTCTGGTTTACACAGTCTTCCTGTTCTAACCTATTCCCCACCAGAGTTTGCAACCTTTTCTTGATTCTTTTCCTTCATGTTTGGGTCATCACTGTTAACAGTCAAGTACTAAATCCTCTTTTCTCTAGTTAATCACAGTCTGTCTGTTAATACTGAGCTTTTGTTTGGGTTAATCCCTTTCTTCTGGCTAATCACCCTATCTTTGGTTGATCAGGGTCCGCCCGTTAAAACCAGCTTTTCTTTGGGTTAATCGCCTTCTTCCAGCTAATCACCCGATCTTTGGTTGATCCCGGTCCGCCCGTTAAAACCAGCTTTTTCTTTGGGTTAATCACCTTCTCTTGGTTAATCACCCGCCTTTTGGTCAATCACAGTCCGCCTGTTTGAAACAAAAATAACCCTTTTCCTTAGTTAACCACATCTCGTCTGTTAAGATACTGAGTTTTTTTTAGTTAATCACCTTCTTTTGGTTAATCACACATTCTTTTCGGTTAATCATAGTCTGTCTATTAAGCACCGAACCCCCTACAGTTAGCAACCTTTCTTTGGTTCAAATACTGTCAGCTTTGGGTTAGTAACCTTTATTCGGTTTGAATACCCTTTCCTTTGGTCAAGTGTTGTTTGCTCAGTCAATGTGTCGTTCTTTGGGTCATAACCTTCGCTTGGTTCTACAATTGTCTCTTGGGTCACAATCTTTGCTTGGTTCCACACCCTTTCTTTTAGTTGATCACCATTTATCGGTTAAAACCACTTCCTTCTCCTTTCGGTTAACCACTGTTTATCAGTTAATTTACCGATTTCCCCTCCGAGTCAAACACCTTTCTTTGGTTCAATACTCTCTTTCTTTTGTTTCGCCGCAGTCCGTCTGTGGGCACCTAACTATTTACTCTCCCCACAAAGTTTTACTCTTATCTTTCTTTGGTTAATCACTGTCTGCCAGTTAATGCACTGAATCCCCTGTGGATCTTATCTTTGATCCTTCTCCCTTTTTCCCCAGCTTTATCGCCATTCTCTTATTTTATCCCCTGTAGAGTCATCTCTTTTCTCTTGCATATCCCCGAAGAGTTCTTGTCTTGCTTCTCTGTGTTCCTCATCATAGTTTTCTTTCGTTTCCTTTCCTGGTTTTAACACCATTCCTTTTGCATTCCCCAGTTGGGTCTTGCTTTCTCTTTTGGTTTTTGGATTTGACGCCGTCTGTTTCCTTTTTCTTTCCCAGCAGTAGTTCCCCGAACTACGCAAGCTCTGATTTCTTCATTGCACTATGAGGGTACGTAGGCACAAGATTGCAAAATCTTGGCGAGCCACCTTCCTCCGTCTTCTTCCATTCTTCTGGTTCTCTGGTTCGTCCAGATCCTCTTCTTTTCCTTGGTTCCTTGAACTACGGAGCTCTGACTTCCTCATTACACTATGAGGGTACGTAGGCACGAGGGCCCCAATCATCCTCGAGCACTTTCTTTTCTTTCTTTCTTTTCTTTCACTCTCCTTTTCTTTTCTTTAGCTAGAAGCATTTAGATAGATAACTCATCCAAGCCTAGAAGTAAGCGAAATGGTTCCCGTCGGGTACGACAGATGCTTAAGGTGCTAGTACCTTCCTTTCGCATAACCGACCCCCTTTCCTGTGTCTCTTTCTCTTGGGTTTTATCGATATTTTCCCTCTTCTTTGGGACTAAATAAAGTTCGGTGGCAACTCTGTTGTATCTTTGAGTGTGCGATTCACTCAGGTATAATCCTGCTAGCTTCAGCCGTTAATGGCAGTTATTTTTTATTATTATAAATAACAGGTCTTAGTGTTAGGATTTGAGTGTGTTCAATTGTGTACAAATTCTTCAGTATACTCCAAGTACCCGTGTATTGAGAGAAACGAGTTTGGAAGAATGTACGTTAATATAACACCAGCTTTTCATTTTTAATGCAATTTAATAAATCTCTTTCTTTAATAATTTATTCTTTCTTTATGCAAGTTCTTGTCTTCATTATTTTTCAGTACTTCGATTTTACTTCTTGTCACCTAAATTCCTTTACATTTGAGATAATGTGCTTTATCATGAACTCTGTCAAAGTGTTCATAGTTTTTATAAACTTTATTTAAGATCAATTAGCACATGTCCTAAGATTTGTGTGGTCGATCCTACAAGTAAAACAAATATTTTTCGATTTGTAAGACCAGCGGTTGTTCACCAATTTTTACGCCGAACACCTGCAATGCCAGGTCCCAGTACCACACATTATTGGCCCATCCACCATAATCCTTCACAGACCCATATTGCAGACCTGGGATGGAATACAATGTAGGGAAATTGATTCGAAGCGGTTTCACATGAAGCCATCTTGCGTGCCAAAAGGAAACTAAAGATCCGTCACCCAATTTACAAGACAAATTGCTTAAGAATGCATCATTTGTAGGTGACATTCCAATCTTCAGCAAATCTCTCATTCACAATGAGACATTCCTGGCCAGACCACCATCCTGCAATAAACAAAACCAAGTTTTGCAGCAACCATACATGCTAGCCAGCACCTGCTTCCATAAAGCATCACTGTCACCTATAATTCTCCATGACCACTTCATCACTAACACCCTGTTAAATAATGCCAAATCCTTTATTCCTAGACCTCCATCCTCCTTTGGTCTGCATACATTTTTCCAGCTCACCCAAGCCATCGATGAAGCCTCTGTTGAGCCTACCCATAAAAACTTTTTTTGAATTACTTTAAGCTCCTTGATCACTTTAACAGGAGCTTGATAGAAGGACAATTGATGAATTGGCAGGTTTGTAAGAACATAATTGATTAACGTAACCCAACCACCCATAGATAACAACCGACCCTGCCACAACGAAAGTCTTGATTCCAAGCAATCCAAAAATGGCTTCCAGAAACTGTACCTCTTATGGTTCCCTCCAACTTGTATGCCAAGGAATTTGAATGGTAAACACCCTTGCCTACAAAACTGAAACCGCGCTGCCGCATTTAAGAAGTCATTGTCAATACAAACTCCATAGGTACAGCTTTTCTAGAAATTGATACGCAAGCCCGAAACTAGTTCGAAGGCTCTAAGAATGGCTTTAATGCCCTACAGACTAGACCAATCAGCCTCATAAACTAGAATAGTGTCGTCTGCGAATTGGACAAGACTAAAATCTTCCTCAACATTCAATTTGATACCAGAAAAAACCTTTGTATATCAGCCCTCCGCACAAGACAAGCAATTCCTTCAGTCACAATAGCAAACAAGAACGACGAGAGAGGGTCGCCTTGTCTTAATCCCCTTGTTGTTGACCAAATAAGTTATTGACATATTTTTTTCTTTACTAAATATATTTATACATTTCTTGTTATTGACCAAGGAAGTTATTTGGCCAGTAGTATTAGTGTGTACTCATAAATACTAAATATTTTCTTTTACATAAACAATAAACCAAATAACTTATTTGACACATTTTTTCTTTACTAAATATCTTTATACATTTCTTAGTGACACATAAATACTAAATACAAAATATTTTTATCGTTCTAATTTTCTTTACATTTATACATTTCTTACTTTAGTAACTAAAAAATAGTCACACTTAACCCTTTTTGCAAGAGTTAATAACCTCATAATTTAGAGACAAAATTATCCTTTACATTTCTAGATAAAATTATCCTTTACATTTCACTATAAAAGTACTTGAAACAAAAGAAAATTATATTAACAACTACTAACCGATGCACACTCAACTAACTTTCAATTTTTCACAACAAATATTAAGTATAATGCCTTAAGTCTATATAACTTAAAGAATTTGCTATATAATCCTCAAATCATCTTTAAAATTGTCGGTTAAGTCCAACTTTAATAAGAAAAGAAATATAATCTGTTTGATTTTGTGTTGTTGTATATTCTCTTTTCAGTTTTAAGATAATATTTATTCGTTTATTTATTTACTTTTCAAATTCCTATCTAAACAAGTTCCTAAGAACCCGATTCTATTATAAGTTTATAACATAAGTTGACAACTACAAAAAAAAGGTAAAAAGACTTTATTTGAATAGTTAAAATTATTAAGTGTAAAACCATACATTATTAGATAAATAAAAGAAAGTTTGTATTATGACCATTTTGCCCTTTTCAAAAGTCTTCCTATCTCAAACTCCTTATTTAAATCTCTCACCAATCTCTCTTTAACCATCGATACCTTTCGATCAGTTTCCAAATCAAAACCAAAAAAAAAAAATCATAGTGATGGTGAGTTCACTTCCCTTTTCTCTTTCCTCTCTTTTCCATTTCTATTTTTATTCTATACATATACAAAACTCTAGTTTTTATTTAATTTTCTCGAAATTTTTTAGGAACTTGAAGTTGAAGCACCACAAAGATGGGAAGGTTATGTTGACTGGAGAAACAAGCCTGCCCTTAGAGGTCGCCATGGAGGCATGCTTGCAGCTTCCTTTGTTCTTGGTCAGTTTCATTTTTCTTAACAAAAATTAATTTTAAAAAAAATTATTTTTATTTTTCTTTTATTAATTTATTAGCAAAATTTTCACTTTAACATATCGTAGATTCGAACGCGCGTATCTGCATGTTTACGAGCACATACAAATTGGCTTAACAGAACTATTTTTATCATATTATTATTTAACATTGATTTACTTTTTAAAAATATCATGTTTTTGTTTATAAAAAGTGAGAACACACACATGTGTGTGTGGTTGTGGAAATTTATTAGTTATTACAATAATTGTTGCTTTTTTTATTTTATTTAATTAACATGTGATACTATCTTTTTTTTTTTTTTTGATGTAGTTGTGGAGATATTGGAGAATCTAGCATTTTTGGCAAATGCAAGCAATTTGGTTTTGTATTTGAAAGAGTACATGCATATGTCTCCTTCTAAATCTGCAAACAATGTTACAAATTTCATGGGAACATCGTTTCTTCTTGCTCTACTTGGTGGTTTCTTGTCGGATTCATTTCTCACCACTTATCATGTTTACTTGATAAGTGCACTTATTGAGTTACTAGTAAGTTTCTTCATTATTATTATTATTACTATTTACCTCCGCTTTACGCGTTCTCTCAATTTTAATGTGTTATCATCACTTTTTTCTAGAAATTAGTATTAAGATTAACTCAATACAGGTTTAACGCCTTTAAAAGCATGTTAAGATTAACTCGATACAAGTTTAACACCTTTAAAAATCTGTAAAACAGACTATCGCACGTAGCTTTAAATTTTTAACAGTTCATTTGTTAAAACAAATTTTATAAAATATTTGTCACGTTAAATCGCGTTTTAATAAATCTCGTATTAAGTTTATTATAATAAAACTGCATATAACCTATATAGAACTTTTTTTATACGACTTTGAATATAAAACACGACTTTGAATATTAAAGAAGAGACTTTTGTTATGTAGAAATTTAAATCCATTGAAAAATTTTGTAAGTTGCTAAATGGGAGAATTAATTGATAAAATGTGATTGATGTTTGAAAAGAATTAAATGCCGCAACCAATCTAAATGCAAGAATTAATTGATAAAATGTGAATGGTGTTTGAAAAGACTTATCCATTTCTTGATTCCCTTTCTTTTTTTCCATATCTCTTTTGCAACAACTTGTGCTAGCTAGAACAAAATCTTGTGGATTGTATGAAAAATTCTCATTAAGATATATGCTCTATTTTCAAGATATATGTCGTCAAAAATATAAAATAGTGATACACACATAAGTAATACTTTTATTAAAAATGATGAAATAACATTTCTATAGAAAATAATATTAATTTGTTGTAAATATATCTTGTGGTTAACATCTAGCAACATGACATAAATATTAAAAGCACTTATCATGGCTCTCAATGTCTATTGTCAACTAAAATGGCTTATAATTAATTCAGACGCGCTTTTTCTTCGGTTACTTTTATAGGGAAAATAAAATAATGTCAGTGGGAAGAGATTTTATCCTTTTTTTTTTGGTACAAGATTTTATCTTTTATAAAGGCTATAGATATTTTTAAAATATAATATAAAATTGTAGCATACGTTTGGTTTTACAATAATAAAAATTAGTTTGAATTAATTAGTTCTAATTATAGGAAGTTAAATGTAAAGTAACTTATATTTATAAAAAAATATATGTATGAGTAATTTAAAAATAAATTTTAGTATAAAATTATATTAAATTTAAAAATTAAAATTTTAATTTTAAATTAGACTAAACTCTAAAGACTAACCCGTTTCAAAAAATTCTAAAATAACTAATTTTATGCGAGAGTAATCAAGCATATTAAAATAAAATTTGCACATGTAAAATCAATTTTCAATTTCTTCAAACGTAAACATAAGCCCGTCGGAATTAGTTTAGTTGAGTTTATATACCTACATAAATTTTGTGGCTTTGTTTGAGATACTATATCAAAATAGATTATGATATCTTTCATAAAAAATTTAAAATATATTTTATAAGCTCCCTAAAATAGTTAAGAAAAATATTTATAACATATAAAAAATAATTAAAATTGTTCTCTAAGATATTTTTCATTTTTTATCATGAAAATAACATATACAAATATATTTTGATAAACACTTGCGCTATAAATACATTATTATTGAAGGTATGTATTTGTCTATTTGTGGAAGGTTAGAAATATTGTAGTTTTGGCAAAAGAGGTTGATGAACCACGTGTGTGGCTGTCAATTACTATATGATAAAGCTAATATTCATAGTGACATTTCATAGTCATAACTAACTGTTAATAGTGGATTACATTAATAAATCATTGTCTATGCTACGCTCCATAAATTAAGATGTGGGATCAAATGATAGAACACGTGGCATCAACACTTTTCATTTGTAGAACAAGACTGGTCAATATTTTAGATATGGTTGAAACATTGTCTCTTGTTATTTATGTTTAGTCCAAAAAATAACCATAATATCTGGCCAAATTTGTGACATTTTATTGGCTTACGTTAATTTTCTAAGAAAAAATTGTTGGAGAAAAAGATGGGTAGGTGTTCATGTTCTTTTCCATTCATTCATTCATTGGTTCTCACTAGTTTATAATAATTTTTTTGTTTTGCATTACTTTGGGTCCATATAATGTTGAGTGTTGGCCCCATTTTTTCCCTACTATTATCTAACCTTTTCACCTATATTTGCAATCAATGCAATGCCTCATATGTGGTGTTATCATCCTATTGGTGGTCACATAGAAAGAAATCATTTCTACTATAAAATATTTCTTTTGAATAATGAAATCTTAGATGAACTTATAGTAGTCGGTGGAATGTTATTAGAGTTCAAATCCATATATATATATATATATATATATATATATATATATATATATATATATATATATATATATATATATATATATATATATATATATATAATATAATATAAAATGACAATTAGTTTGAGATATAAAATATTGGAAATGTGACAATTTTATGTGACATTGTAGCTAATGAATTTGGAATTATCATTTATGAAGGGTTTAATCATACTCACAATACAAGCTCATTCACCATCACTAAAACCAACAAAATGTAATGGATCAACTCAATGTGAGGAAGTTAATGGTGGAAAATCAGCACTATTATTTTGTGGTTTGTATCTAGTGGCTCTTGGAGTTGGAGGAATAAAAGGGTCACTACCGGTTCATGGTGGTGAGCAATTTGATGAAAGTACACCAAATGGAAGGAAACAAAGATCAACTTTCTTCAACTACTTTGTCTTTTGTCTATCATGTGGTGCTCTTATTGCAGTTACTTTTGTTGTTTGGGTTGAAGATAACAAAGGTTGGGAATGGGGTTTTGCAATTTCAACTGTTACTATGTTTTTGTCTATTCCAGTGTTCTTGGCTGGCTCAACTACTTACAGGAATAAGGTCCCTTCTGGAAGTCCACTTACCACTATTTTGAAGGTAATTTCTAAAAAACTTGAAATTAAAAGTTTATGGGATGTCAAAACGGGCTCGGCTCGTTAGATATGTCTATTTTACTTACTTTTTCATTTTTTATGAGATTGATTAAGATTTTTGACACACACCCTAGAATATATACATCCACGCCGTTTTTTGGCGAATAAAGACATTTATAACAATTTTTACAATTTTTAGCCTTTAGGGTGCAAGGTGAGCATGCACACCCCGTCCTCGGTCAAAGTCTTAAATCTGCATTCTTAATTGTGTCCTTTCCACGCCGTATTTTGGTGGTTTTTGTGGATGGACCTAAATGAGGCGGACATGTCATTTGTCACTCCTAAATTCAGAGGTTGATATGTTAATGAAATTTTGAGACTTCGGAGTTTACAATTCATGTGCATGGTCAGTGAAATTTTGATACCTCAGAATTTACGATTTATGTGGTTGGTCAGTTTATACATAATTTTGCTTTGTTTATAAATAAATCCTCTTTAGTAGACGGTAAAATTGATCTCAAGTTGATTTTGGTTTCATGTCGATTTCGGTTTCAAGCGAGGATATCATATTTAAAAAAAAAATTATATACTACGAAGCTTGATTAAATTGTTTATTTATGACTAATTCAATATGGTATGTGTTTCCATTTTTTGAAATTGACCAGGTACTTATTGCTGCATCACTAAACACCTTCACCAACAAAAACTCAAGCAATGCAGTTGCAAACATGTCTTCAAGCCCTACAAATCCAACCACACAAACAAAACAATCACAACAACAAATCCAAACCACAAAACCAACCACAACAACATCTCAAACACCAACACAAACCCTAAAATTCCTCAACAAAGCATTCACAAACAAACCTATCCACACATCCCTAACATGCACACTCCAACAGCTAGAAGACGTCAAAATAATCCTCAAAATACTCCCCATCTTCGCATGCACAATCATGCTCAACTCTTGCTTAGCTCAACTCTCAACATTCTCCGTCGAACAAGCCGCCACAATGGACACAAAGCTTTTCTCCACCTTCAAAGTTCCTCCGGCCTCCTTACCAGTTTTCCCGGTACTCTTTCTCATGATCCTTGCACCAATCTACGACCACATCATAATCCCTTACGCAAGAAAAGTTACGAAATCCGAAACAGGTATAACTCATCTCCAAAGAATCGGAATCGGGTTAATACTCTCCATACTCGCAATGGCCATAGCCGCAATAGTAGAAATCAAACGACGAAAAATATCCTCACACTTCAACAACTTAGCAACAAAAAAATCTCCATTACCTATCTCATTTCTTTGGATCGGTTTCCAGTATTTATTTCTCGGTTCCGCCGATCTCTTCACTCTAGCTGGACTGTTAGAGTTTTTCTTCTCAGAAGCACCTTCAAGTATGAGATCATTAGCAACATCACTTTCTTGGGCTTCTTTGGCAATGGGATATTACCTAAGTTCAGTGATTGTTTCTATTGTAAACAGTGTAACTGGTAATGGTGATCATAAACCGTGGCTAAGTGGATCCAACCTTGATAACTATCATTTGGAGAGATTCTATTGGTTAATGTGTGTGCTAAGTGGGTTGAATTTTCTTCATTATATGTATTGGGCTGCTAGGTATAAATATAGAGGAAGAGGGAATGGTGGTGAATGAAAGAATAGGGCACACTTGGTTTAATTGTTCACTGATCAAATTTTGAACAAGAAAATCTTAGGAAGCGGTTTTGTATAAGTGACTGCAAAATCTCTAATATTGTATCTAGTAGAATTTAATTATAGTGTACACTGTAATTTTGAAGTATTTTACAAATGCATCTAATCACATCTCATTATATATATATATATATATATATATATATATATATATATATATATATATATATAATATGATACTTAGCTCGAAATAGTTTCATATAGAAACAGAATTCACCAAATAAATCTGACATTTGAACTTCATACCTAATATAATTTGTGAATTTCAGTAAGCATTTCACTTGAATGAATTACATTACGCAATGCAATGGACTTCCTTATATAGAGTCAAGTGTAAGGCTGCAAGGAGATGCATGGATTGAAACTATATGCATGATGATCATGACACCATGCATTCTTGTTCTAAACACTTAATTGCATGGTTCTTATAGACATACTATCATGAACATATATACACTATACTACAAACATTGAATTCAGTTCTCCTAATATCTCCTGTTCATGGTTGTAGGAACATGCTGAATTTTTATTTTCTTGACAATAACATGTTTACGAAGATAGTGGATATCCAACTTAATGTGTTTGATCCGATCATATGGAGAATTTGATTATGAGAGAAGGTCAACTCTTAGATTATCACACAAGAGTGTAGATTGATAATTCAATGAGGAGTGAGTCAACCCACAAGAGTTGTGACGTGGTGTGAGCAAGAGCACAATACTCCGCTACAGTGGTAGATCGTGCAACTAATGGTCACTTTCTTAGATCTCCATGAAACGAGATTAGGTCCAAAGAAGATGCATGAACTAGAAGTGGAACGATGATCATCAGGGTCACTATCTCAATCAGAATCACTATTGTCCATAGAAAGAACTTACGAGGCAGGAAGCAGGGGGAAGAAGAAAACCATGTGAGATGGTACCGTTGAGGTATTGCAAGATCCGTTTGACAGCTGGCCAATGTGACTCAGATAGAGAAGCCATAAATTAGCATGATTTATTCACACTAAATGATGGGAAATTAAGACACAATAATAGACCAATGCGCATCGGATATAAAACTCTCCAAACTTGTAGGAATCTTGAGTATCCATAACAAATATAAGACGGCAAATCGAACAAATAAAGGTACAAAAGAACACTGATATTTTTAACGTGAAAAACCACTTATTATGTGAGTAAAAACCACGACTTGTTCAGACCAAAGAAATAATTCCACTATAATCAATTAAGGGTACAAGAGAGTCTTAAAGTGATTCACAAACTAGTGCTAACAATCGCAAATCACAAAGCATATTAGCTTACAAATAAGAATAAAAAAACTGAATTTTTTTTCCAAATCTGCAGCTTAGTGCGAAGAAAATAACTTTCACCTCAGACGTTGTTTTGAAATTTTGAACAATCAAAAGTTAGATATATGTGTTATGAACCTACCCACCAAATTTGAGCTCGATCCAATGGGTAACGAATTAGGGATCGCTGATTTAGTGAGACTGATTGCAGAAAAATGGGAAGGAGTTTCTCTCTTATTTTCTCTCTTTTGAATACTTATTTTTTCTCTATCTCCCTCAATCCTAAATTGATCCTCTCCACTTAAATAAGTGAGAAAATAGGCTAATCATATTAGGTTCTTTCTCCACATAGGAAGGAAGCCCAAACCCAACAAATCTCCCCCTCACAACTATGTGGAGGAAATCGCCAAACCGACAATATCATAACAAGCTTCAAATTTCTCTCTATGTAATTATTTAGTCATCATATCATAACTATTATCATTTGCATGAACTTTAGCTAACTCCAACACCTTAACATCCAAAACATCACGTATCCAATGATATCTCACATCAATGTGTTTGGACCTATTATAAAAAGTCAGATTCTTACCAAGATAAATAGCGCTTTGACTATCAACAAATAACACATATTTGTCTTGAACAAAACCAAGCTCCTGCAAAAATTTCTTCAACCATAGTAACTTTTTGCATGCTTCGATAATTGAAATGAACTCAGCCTCTATAGTAGATAATGCTACACACTTTTTCTAATCTGGACTGCCAAGCAACAGCTCCCCCTGCAAATTTAATCATGTAACTCGAAGTGGACTTTCTGGAATCAATGTATCCAGCCATATCAGAGTCAGAGTATCCCACTAGAGTAGGCTTATCTCCTCTAAAACAAAGCCTCGTAGAAGTAGTACCGTGAAGATATCTTAAAATTCATTTTATAGCATTCCAATGCCCTATACCTAGATTTGACAAAATCTAGTGATTGTACCAACAACATGTGTTATATCTGCTCTTGTACACACCATTGCATACATCAAACTACCCACAACAGACGCATAAGGAACATGTTTCATATCAAGCGCTTCATCTTCACTTGAAGGACTTTGATTAGAACTCAACTTGAAATGAGCAGCGAGAGGAGTGCTTATCGCCTTAGAATCTTTGCAGCACTCTTTTGATATAATTTTCTTGTGACATCTAAAGTTTCTTATTTTTTCTGTCATGCATGATTCTAATGCCAATAATCTGTTTAGCTGCTCCCATGTTTTTCATGGAAAACGACTCTCCCAATTGCTTCTTTAACATGTTAATGTTAGAAATACTTTTCCCTACAATAATCATATCATCAACATATAACAACAGTATAATGAATTCATCGTTAGAAAATCTTCTAACAAATACGCAATGATTTGAAGTAGTCTTCTGGTATCCTTGATCACACATGACATACTCAAACTTCTTGTATCATTGTCTTGGAGCTTGCTTCAACCTATATAAACTCTTTCTCAATCTATGCACATGATATTCTTTACCTTTAACTTGAAAACCTTTGGGTTGTTTCATATAGATCTCTTCCTCCAAATCACCATGAAGGAAAGTCGTTTTGACATCCATTTGCTCAACCTCTAAATTAAGAGTAGCTGCCAAACTCAACATGGTTCTAATTGATGACATCTTTACAATATGTGAGAAAATATCATCAAAATCTACACCCTTTCTTTGATGCAAACCTTTCACAACTAATCCAGTTTTATATCTTGGAAACTTAGAGTTGCTCTCATGTTTAACTCTATAAACCCATATGTTTTCCAAAGCCCTTTTGCCATTAGGCAGCTTCACTAAATCATAAGTGTGAGCATCATGCATTGCATCCATCCACTTTTAATTTTCATTAATTTCTATGGCCTCTTGAAAACACTCGGGTTCACCCTCATCAATCAAGGTCACATACTCATCAGAATTATACCTTGTAGAAGGTTGTCTATGCCTGTTACACCTCCTAGGTTGAACTTGAGATGATTTTGGAGTTTTACCAAGATTCTCATCTTGTGACAAATCGCTCTCTCCTTCACCATCATTAGTTGGAATATTTACCTCATCTCCAAGTTTTTGATCATCAACATAATCATATGGCTCACCATTGTGATCATCACCACCAATAGCATCCAGATTATGACTAGGTAACCAAACTGGATCAACATTAGACAAACTAATATCTTTCTTGGGTGTATCCTTCTCTACCTTATCAATATCTTTAATAGTTTGGTCTTCCATAAACACCATATCACGACTTCAAATAAGCTTTTTTCCCACAGGATCATACAACTTGTATCCAAACTCATCTTGCCCATAGCCGATGAAGATACATTGTTTTGACTTTGCATCCAACTTGGATCTTTCATCCTTTAGAATATACACAAATTCCTTAAAACTAAAGACTCTCAAATTATCATACTTGAAATTCTTTCCAAACCAAATTTTTTATGGAACTTCACTGTTCAAAGCAACAGTAGGAGTGATATTAAGAACATGCACTGCCATGTAAAGTGCCTCGAAGAGCATACACCTTACTCTCCCAATTAGTGTTCGATTCATCCACTCTACTAAACCATTCAATTGAGGAGTTTTATGAGGAGTCTTTTCATCTGCAATAACATGCTTCTTGCAATAGGAATCAAATGGTCCACAATACTCTCCACCATTGTCTGAACGAACATATTTCAGCTTCTTTCATGTCTGCCTCTCAACCAACGCATGGAATTCTTTGAACTTTTCCAGAACTTAGTATTTTTTCTTCAAGGAAGAAACCCATAGTTTCCTGGAGCAATCATCAATAAAGGTAACAAAATAAAGTGCACCACTAAAGGACTTTACCTTTAATGGATCACAAACATCAGAATGTACCAATTGAAGCAACTTTGACTTCCTTGAGGGAGGATGTCTCTTGAAAGATACTCTAGCCTGTTTACCAGACGTGCAATGAGAACACTTCTCTAAATCTATACTATTTAGTCCAGGAAGAACATCCTTTTTGGCCAAAAGATTCAGTCCCTTTTCACTAATATGATTAAGCCTTTGGTGCCACAAAGATGCTTTCATGTCAATAGCATTCACACTGTCCCTAGCAACCAAAGCTTTTGTCCAATACAATTTAGAAAGCTTTTCTCCTATAGCCACAACTAATTTACCTTTGTTGAGTTTCCACTTTTCGAAACCAAAATGATTATCATAACTACAATCATCTAGCATATGTACAGAGATCAAATTAAAGCGGACATCTGTAACATGTTTGACACCTCTAAGCAACAATTGCATTCCCATGTTGGTTTGCAAGCAAACATCACCCATACCATCATTACCCATCATTAACACTCCAAAATCACGAGAAGTATAAGACATGAATAAATCCTTCATTAGTGTAACATGCAATGTAACACCACTGTCAATTATCCATATGCTCTCGTCTGATACAAGATTAACATACTCATGATCACGGAGAATAACAAGATCATAACTAGTAGGAGTAGTAACACGATCATCATCATGATTTTCTTGGTCTTTTTTTAGACTTGACTTTGTTATCTCTTTTCCACTGATAGCAATACTTCTGTTCGTGTCCTATTTTGTGACAATTCTATACGTGCCCTGTTTTGTGA